CTCATCAAGCAATGCCCTCCGAAGTTCCGGTAGACAGGTGGGAGGGGGTTGACGGGCTGCAATTCGTCGGCCAAGCATATCCCACACATGCTCTATTGGATTCAAGTCCGGTGAGTATGCTGGCCAATTCGTACGGGTGATATCCTCCGATTGAAGGCATTCGTCTACAATGTTTGCACGGTGAGGACGGCGTTGTCATCCATAAACAGAAATTCAGCACCCATGGCGCCCCGAAACAAACGTACATGTTGTTCCAGAATGACATACCGATAGATGTGGCCTGTCATCGTTACACTCTGAACATGCAGTTCAGTTCTGGAACCAAGATAATTCCTCCCCAAACGAGCCATCCTGCACCACCGTAACGGTGTCGTTTAATGGTGTTCTCTTGGTGGTAACGGGTACCTGGCGCTCTCCATATGAAAGTTCGGCGAGAATCAGACTGCAAACTAAACCTGGACTCTTCGGAAAACATCACACAAGACCATTGTTGCGGTGTCTACAATGCATGCTCTCTACTCCAGGTTAATCGCAGTCGACAGCGAGTTGCGTTAAGGGAACACATCCGACGAGCATATAGACCAATGTACCCTAAGTGTTTGTACACGGTCTGCCTTGAAACTGTCGTACCGGTAGCTGAAGAGAGCTGACGAGATAGGTCTGATGCTGTGATCCGTCTGTTTCTTTTGGCAGTAACTGCTAAATACCGGTCCTCATTCGGCGTTGAAACTCGGGGGCGACCTGTGCTATAACATCTACTCACAATACCATCATCTTGGAATCGTTGCCAAAGCCTGGAGATGACACTCTGGGCGATTCCAAGCTCCTCGGATACTTCTAGGTGGGTACATCCCCATTCCAGTCGTCCGATAATTCTACCACGTAAAAAATCATCCAAATGCTTCCTTTGTGCCATAACTATGCGGTTATTGCACTGAAAGGCTTTTAAAGCGCTTGTGAACAATTTTACTTCTTTGTCACCATTCCGTATATACCCCTCTCTTACACTCTCGTCATTGTGACATACTATCCGCGCCATGTGCTGGTTTCCTGTAATTTGCATATTCTTCTTCAAGATGTGTGTGATAATTCTACAGGTGAAATTTTTATTTTAGAGTTCAATTTCTGTGTGATTCCGAATTATCCTTAATTTATGGACGTGAGTGTATTTGCAGACGCTTTAAACACTTGTTTCCTCAAAATAACAAAAGCTCCCGAGATTACGTAGATGGCCTCGGATGCAGCGATCAGTAATAATTTCCATTCCCCTTTTCAGACACTACTATCCACACCAAAAGGTGCCTGGGCTTAGATAATGAGGCTTTAACTGGTTGATGAACCAAATTTTAAAAGTAAAATTCTCCGCATTGCCAATCACTAACTTCTCAATTAATACACATAAGCTATCAATTTCCATATTATATTTCACTCACTTTTATATATATTTGTCATAGAATTAATCTAATTCAAATAGTACGCTTCCACTCTATGAAGTGGCAGTTAGACTCAGGTAATTATGGGTTATGTAGTTGCAGTAGCCATAGGTTATGGTCAATGATTAGTAGCCAACATGTCCTGAGTTCAAACCTTAGTGCTACTGAAAACCCGCTGTGTGAATGGGCTAATGCACGTAAAATCTATCGAGCCTCAGTATCCTCCCGTAGGAAAGGAGGTATCAGTTCAGGTGTCTTCCTCGTCACTTGATCATGATTTAAAATTACAAGGTCCGTTACCAACAGCCCTCAGGTTGCTTTTTAATGCAATGTTAATAATCACACAAAGAATATTACCTTGTGCTATTTTAAGAGGGAATCCTCAAGCCCCCGTTACAAAAGAGCAGTCCATTTTTTAAGAAAATATAGGATTCACTTATTTTTTACTAGTTTCATATTTAGCTACACAAATCTTTAGATCTCGTTTAAAAATTTCAGGGTGCGTTCTATGTTTGGGGTAATTTTAAAAATGATTTTTCAAACATGTTTTAAGTTTAGATCCTCGAAAATTAAACCAGCAATTAATTGAGAAATTTCATCTTCAGTGATATCCCGTAAGTATAACTCAGCCGTATAAAGAAATAAATTATGTTCTTTCTTGTACCGTATTATTTCAAAACTCTGTAAAAAGGAGGGGATTGTGTTTATACATGAATGAAAACGTAAATGCATTAAAAAATTCTGTGTAGTAATTTGTGTTTAATGTTACTTGAGAAAAGCTTACTTTATATGATATTTTGATCACGTTTTTATTTCGGAATGTCTTCACAAATCCAATCCTTCTATATAAAGAAACTCCTCACATATTTTGTCTGTAATAAAAGAGAACAAAAGACTAGCGAAATTATAAACAAATATATATATATGAGAATTCTTCTCAATTATATATATATATATATATATATGTACATTTCACCATAATTGCATTAAAAGTACCTTAACCTTGTACACTAATAGAAAAAAAACTTCAAAAATCATCGAACCTAGGAATGTCTTCCGGCACTGTAAGTAAAATCATTCATAAAAATTTATAGTTTATACAGATGTTTAAACGTAAAGTTCGTCTCCTTTATTAAACATATAAATATAAACACACAAACCGTAATAAAAAGAGATATGTTTTCTTTTGCTCAACTGTCAGGAATGATCGTACGAAATGACTTCGTCAGTGTACAGAAAAGTTTCCAAACGGACTCATGATGGTTACAGAATTTTGTTACAACGACAAATTAACAATCAAAAAAGTTTCAAGTAAAGCCAAAATTAATTCGCTTTACTATCAGCAGCCTATTTTAAAACCAATTTTTGAAGAAGAAATTCCAGCCTTATATGGAAAGGACATTGTGATAAAGTTGAGCTTCATGTCGACTAAGCTTCTAGAAACATGTCTAAATCAACTCTCGCTTATTTAGTAAAGAAAGAACCAGAAACAGGAATAAAGCTCACTCTATTTGATGAAATACCAGTAAAATCACTTCACGCTTCTCCAACAGTCTTTGTGCTTTCGGTTCATTAAAACGAGCCTAAGGAGTGAGTGAGTGAAAATGAACGTCGCTCTGATCAGTAGACCTCGTAATTTTAAACCATGGTCAAGTAACCAGGATGACATCTGAGCTTGCAACCTCCTCTCCTAACTACCACACCAACGGAAGGACGCTTGAGCTTTCGACATATTTAACGTGCATCGCTCCCCTATATGGCGGGACTTTAGTGGTACTGGGTTTAAACTCACTATACGCCCCAGCCACGATCCGATACCTTGACCACTAGGCTACTGTGGCCTCACGAACCTGAGAAAAACGGCATCCAAAAACATTGAACGGATTTTGGAAAACGTTTCAAGAAAAATGGATTGCCAAATTGGCAGGGAAGTACTAAAAAAACTTTACTTCCATGGAAAATTTGATCTAAAGTTATTGTCAAGAATCATTTCTATCGGATATAAGCAAATCGCTGCAAAAAATACGGCATTTATAGATATACATTTACTATCAAAATCGTTTTCGCGAAATGCGAAATGGCCTTCTTTATAATGTAAAATAAATCAATAACATACTAGAGATATGATAAAAAAAATCGTTATATTTTTATTTCTTTTTAAAGTTATATTTAATTTCTTAAACATAATTTAAATCCATGAATGGGGATTTAGTTTCAATATTTTTAACATTGTGTCACAGACAAAAGAAACATAATAACATTTTTCAGAGGATTTTTATTTTAGAGTCAATGTAATGTGACTGGAAAACGTATAGATATGCTCTCAATCAAATTTTCTTTCTAACAGGAACAATTTCTCGAGTTATTCGTGAATTCAGCTTAAGAAAGAACCACATTCATCAGCCAATAATTGAGCTGTCATTGCGCAAAAAAGGAAACCCATATCTGCGTTTTCTTCCACTTTACTTCCAGCTCCGTATTTCCTACGGATTTCTTGAGGTTTCCAATTACACCTATGACCGCTCCAGATAACTTCCCTCGCAGTAAAGTACACTAAAACAAATTATCTATTCGATTCACGGTTTCCGGTAGAAAAAATAAAGCCATTCTCTACAAAAAAAAATCGACTTGAAATGAAAGCAATCCAAAACAAGGCTTCTGCTCAATCCTCTTCGAAAACATGAAAGAAGACATAGATTTGACCTCCGCAATGGAAAACTTTCATCTTGCCTTTAGAAACTTGACGTTTGGTTAAAGTACGTATGACTGGTTCGTTTAAAAAAAAAGAAAGAACAGTTGATGTTGATGTGCCTTGTTTTCAATAGGTGGAGTCAGAATGAGTAATTTGCTGTTAGATTTTAAACTGTTTCAATTGAAAAAGACGCGTCTAACCTCACGGTGTTGAAAAGGAATTGACCACGTTCGGTCTGACAAGTTAAGTTTTCAATTAGAAAAACAATATACTTTTCAAAGGTAAAGGATTTGACTTCTTTTATTTGATATTTACAACCCGCTGGAAGAATAATGATATTTTAAGCAACTGGAAGCGATTGCATCTATGACAAATGGTTTTGAAGCACCTTTTATTATGGTTTAAAAAGTATTTATTAACCTAAGTTCCTCGTGGAGGAAAAATGAGCTTTGAAAATAATAAGCAATTTAAATAAAAGTTCTGTTATTTTATTTTTTTTATTATATATTTGTGGTAAAATTTATGATAGATGGCTCCCATGCATGATAAATAAACGAACGTGAACATTCTGAAAAATAAGTTAAACAAGTAATATAAAAAAAAATTAAGTTGAATTCCTACTTAGGTCAACAAAGAAATTTTATTTTAGTTACTTTTTATTAAATAGTTACAATTAATATAAATATGTGTATACATATATGAAAGAATCACAGCATTAAGTGACAAAATAAAAAGCGATTTTTCTTGCAATTTTTTCCATTTTTCTTTCTATACATGGTGTTGAATTATTTTCTTTGTTTTTTATTCATTAATTAAACTTAATTATTCTAATAAAATGTTCGGTAAAAAAGAAATCACATTCTCAGAATTTAGGTCATTCCAAGAGGGATTCGAACCCACGACCTTTGGATTAGAAGTTCAAAACGCTATCCATTGCGCTACAGGAACACAGCGAATGATTGTCCTTTCTATGTATGCTGTTGGACTATTATTTTTGTTTGTTACTATTTATTCATTTTTAATTTAATTAATGAATTATGTTTGAAAAACAGTATTAACATCAAATATCATCCACCACAAGTTTAAAAAATGTATTTGAACTTGAAAGGATGAATAGAAAGTATTTTATAAACGATTAAAAATTTGTACAAGATATATATATATATATATATATATATATAGGGGAAGAGGGAACTTATATAGGAATTGAAAAAAATAATTCATCATTTTGTTAAAGGAATCAGAAGCACACACAAAAGAGAGATGGGGGGGAGGGGCATAGGTCCGGACTCCCCTCACCCTTGAATTTCTTCTCGATTGATTATAATCCTATGTTTATAGTACGTATTTGTTATTAATAATTAATTTTATTAATTAAAGCTAACTATTTATTCGATAATTTATTTTTAACTGTTTTTTTTTTGTTCCCGACAACCGATAAAAATCAAAAGGACATATTTGGTGGCATATTGAGGTATGACAAAAGAAATTATTTAAATAGTATTACTTATATAAACTTGCTCTAGTTTAGAATAAGTATGTTGTTATTAAAATAAATATTTTTTTACTAATTCATAAACCTAAGAATAAATAAACAAATAAAAGAAAATAAGTGCATTTTTCTTTCAAAACATATACACTAGTTGAATGGCGTAAAATATTTTATTAGTCAACTCTTGATACAGATTTAATGTAAAAGTTTTTTTCATTTAATTCATTTTTAATTTTAGCATATATTTATATTTTGAGATATAAGAAATTAAATATTACATGGGGTAAAAATTTTAAGGAAAGATTTTTGAAGAATTTTTCTCTTTATAAAGTTTTAATATAATTAAAAAGGCTAATTTTTCACAATTAAATGCAATATCTGTGTTTCAACTTTTTTAAGAAATAGTAGACGTTCTTTGTACACCTATTGTGGTAAATATACTTGCTTCTTGTTGATAACTGTTTATGGGAAAATTATTGTATCATCTCTCTGTTTCTTTAACATTTAAAATGAACTATAGTTTATATGTTTTGTCGTCAGTATCAGAAAGCGTGTGTTTTCAGTACCATAAATACTTGTATTGACCGTGGTAGCCTAGAGGTCAAGGTAACGAACTCGTGGCTGGCGTGTTATGAGTTCGAGACTTGTATCGCTGAAGACCCGCCGTTGAGGGAGGGGCTGATGCACGTTAAATATGTTGAGGCTAAAATATCCTCCCATTGGCATAGTGTGGAAGTTAGGAGAGGGGGTGCCAGCACAGGTGTCGTCCTTGTCACCTGACCATGTTTCAAAATTAGGAGGTCCATCGCCAAAATCCCTCGTGTAGCTGAAGAGTGCGGCGTTAATATTCACTCCCTTGCACACAAAAAAGGGGGGTGTCCAAGGGGCCTGGACCCCCAACCCTTTTGGTTTTTTTCGATTGATGATAATCATATATATAACGTAAAGTTTAATTAAGTACTTGTAATTAACAAATTATTTGATTAATTAATGCTAATTATTAATTCAATAATTTATTTTTTACTGTTTTTTTGTTAACACAATCGACAAAATCAGAAGAATCAGTTGGTATTGTCTTGAGGTATGATACGAGTTGAGGGACTTTCGATCATGCCCCCCCCCCCTGAAAATTTTTTGTGTGCGCTACTGCTCTCTTGTATACTATCAAAATAATTTAACATTAAACGGAAATTATGTTTGCATTAAAATTGAGAAAATAACAAAATTTGAAAAACTATAAAGCTAAAAGTTTTACAAGGACTAATTTTTCTAAATATCATCCAAAAAATCAATTAAATAGAAGTTGCTATTAAATGAACATTTTTAACGAAATAATTGACTGAGTTACCCAAAACTAAAGGCTAAATTGACTACATCTGACCTGGCTCTACACTCTCCAAATTCTACACCACACCAAGGTTGAGCACTTTGAATCTCAACACATTTGATGTGCATCAGGGCCTCTACATTTATAATCTTTAGCGGCACTAATACTAAAACCCGCTTCTAGACAGAAAGGTTAAAGATATATATATTAAATAACATCCAATTCTTTTAAATTTTTGTTTCTGTATTAAAAATAAAACATTTTAATTCCAGAGAAAGGAGTTTCAATAAGAAAAGCCACACGATTTTAATTTTTTAACCTTTACATTCAAAAAGATTCGTCGAAGAATTTTCCGATTCTTACATGAAAAATGTTTTATGACTCATAATCAACTTTGTATATCTAACCGCGAATATTTATCCGTCTCATATTTTGATTTGACTGTTATACAATTATCAAAGGTCTCAAAACATTAGAACAATAGCTTTCTATTCAAGATTTCTTGAAGGAAGTTACAGTTATATACTATTAACCAGTGCTGCTCCGAGAAAAAGAGGAAAGATGTAACAAAACTGTAATGTAAGACTCTTTAAATTTAGAAAAGTAATAATAACGTAACTAAAATTTCAAATCAAAGGGAAAAATTATTAATTATAGATCATAATATTTTGCTATTATTCACTTCTCCATCTCATTTAACACTATGTATCGTAGTCTCACATCCTTTCCAAACAGATCGATCTCTGCAGTCTATTGTGAAAAGATCAGGATAAAAATAATGTAACCAATGTATTTAAAAATGTATCAATTGAGACTAAAAGAGCACACACACATGTTATATATATGTGTGTGTGTGCGTATCTATAAATATGTGTATATGTATTTTTATATATACATATTTATAGATACACATGCATGAATCTGTTGGAATTTGCATATTGTTATTTATTTTGTAATTTTTGAATGTCTAATTTTGGCAACAGCAAAACCAGATTGCTCCCACTATTTATGCTGGTGCATCTGGCACCATAGTTTGTAGTGAATGAATTGTGGAACATAAAAATATGAACTTTGGAAGACTTGTTGTTATTTCAGTCCTGATACACTATCAAGTCCGTACAAAATCTAATAAGACAAAGCAATAAATAGAAATGTATACGTAACTAGACTGCATAAATCAAAAATTTTAAGTAAGATTACCAATTAGTATAATAGCAAATTCTTAGCCATAGGAACTGCGAGGGTAAACATAATTTTAAGGTCTGAAAGCAAATTCTTACACACACGCACATATATATAACAAAATAAATAACATCCTAACATATTTTTGAAAGTTAAGTGTATTATCGGTGAAATCAAGCGTTTGAAAAGTGGCCGAGAGCAATTTGTAAGTAATAATAATAATAAACCTGCTCTTTGGTTGCTTAAAGAAATTAAATTTTGTTAGCTTGTGGACACTTTAAAATCACGAATACCTCAGGGGCTATAAACATTTTTAGCCGCTAAAAATGACACAAATCAAATACTGAGGGTCTAAAATATTTGCTAGTTTAAATATAAATAGAAATTTTATAAGGAAATATGGATTGAAATTGTAAATCACTAGAAGCAATTAAAGGTGAAATTTCAACTAAATCACATAGAAAAATGTTAATCATTTTGAACAACTTGTTTAGGTTATTGGCACATATTGAAAATACTTGAAATGAATGTAAAGTAAAAAATTTTAAAGCTTCGAAACATCTTTAGTTGTATACAAAAATGTAGAAACGCATAACATCTTACTGATTATTCATTAACAGCTTATTAAAACAACACATGAGAGTTAATACAGAATAAAAGCTATTGCAGTAATTTTGAACCAAATGTTCAACTGAAAAATGATACATAACACCTATATCTTTCATGAGAGGTGACCACCATAGCAACGGCGTAATGGAGAATATTAGCCCCCCCCTGTAAAGTCAGTTTTTGGGCTCCAGTTGGTTTATTACATACTTGGCGCCAGTCAGGCTTTGGGCCTCCTTGAATCCTGTCACCCCAGCGATGAGGGTTGTACGTTACGCCAATACATGATAGATGAGTGTTATAGTCACGAAAACATTGCCAGCGTTTCTGAGTCAAGTTTCGTGTTTTGGGAGCACTAAAGACTCGTCGTGTAGAGAAACTGTTGGATGATAAATCTGAAGGAACTCAAAGTCCTCTCGTTGGTGTGGAGGGGAAGTTTGTAGAGGGGGGTGTCAGATCAGGTGTCGTCCTTGTCAGTTGCTCTCAAAATTATGAGATCCGTTGTTAATAGCCTTAGTATAGCTTCAAAGCAATCTTTAATAAAAGATCTAATCCAATCCATACTTGATAAGACTTTGTGTTTAGACAGATTTAAAGAGCACGCGAGAACCATTACACAATGCTTTTCTGGCAGGAAGCGAATCGAATTCGCAATCCTTGGATAATTCCACTACGATTCCGATATACCTCATTCTACAGACTAAAACCCTCCCAAAAAGAGAGAGGATTTTCATAAAAAAATGTTTATTATTCCTTTATTTTTAGTTGATAAAATGTTTGTATCTAACGTAACGGTTTCATTTTGCTCATGCAATATATAAGTGTGTATATTGTATATCTCAAGGTGGAGAGGGGTATTATATAAATTTATATATGTGGTGTAAATATTTTTAAAACTAGATTTCCAGCATTGAAATGAAGAAGCTGAAGACCCTCAAAAATCGGGGATTTACTCCAAAAATTAGTTCTTTGATAAATTGGTTAGACGTGATTTCAAACGCATACTTTGTTTAATATTTAACGCCTTGGAACTCTGCAAAAAAATTTATGTTACACAATGGTCATTTAAAACCAGAAGGAAAGATTTATTTATGAAATTTATGTTTTTCATATATATCGAATTGTTAAAATGTAGCTGTGTGTATTCCTGTTTTTCTCCCCGTCACAATTGTAAAACAATTCCTCACGTTTCTTTCTTGAAATGCCGTGATGCAATACAAGGTAGTGAGTTTTATGGGAGGTGATACTCCTGCTTTTTTATTGTTAAGTTTATATTGGGATCGTTAAGAATTTCCTAATAAATTCAAGAGGGTTTCTTAGTATTTATAAGGCGTGTCGCGG